ATGGCTGCGTCATTTTCAGTGGATCTGCACAGTCAATAAATTTAACTCTTTTTGGATTACTGCCCTTTGTTGCGTGACAATGGCAAATTATGACGCTGTGAGCGAGGCAAAAATATCAGATAAGTCCACAGTTAAGCCCCTTGGCCTTAGGCTTACTGTAGGGGAGACTACTTGTTCTCAGTGTGCGGCTGTAGTTATTGGTGCTGATTAGATAAATCATAGTCGACATGTTGGTGGAAATTATTTCTTAGTCCACAAATGTATTTTAATGCATCATTTCCTGCACAAAAACATCTTAAGGTAACATCTTAATTATATTTATTATAAGCAAAACAACATTTAAACAAAACTATATCCTATATCCTATTCCAAACATGTTTATTGCAAAAGGTGTAAATACAGTTCATTGGTGAGAAATTTTGCTATCTTATATTATGCTGTACATAAATTTAATTTGAAAAATAATATCTAGATCTATATATATATATATATATATATATATATATATATATATATATATATATATATATATATATATATATATATATATACACATTTACATATATATACTATTATACCCCCTCCTACTTTCTGCAAATGAACACATTGACAGCTTTACATCACAAATAACCCATTCCAGCATAATCCATATATATATAATTCTCTTCACGGAGACCATAGAAAACACCAAGCTGTAAGCGCGCCTAGCAGCCCCCTCTCTTGCTCTTTAGGCATATCCCTAACACCCCCATCTCCACATGGTTTGGTGAGCTGTGGTTCACGCTAAATGTTTTACAATCGTAGAGCTGGGTTTAGTGACGGCTATTAGGGGCAGATAATTTAGTTTGAAACTAATTTAAACTTAGGGGAGGTAACTAAGAGGAGGCTTTTTCACGGGGGGGGGGGGGGTTAGGGGTTAGGGGAAAGGAGGGGTGGGGGGTTATCGTCCTTCACTGGCTACTGATAGTGTTTTAAAGCAAATATTTTCAGTGGCACTGTCGAATTCACAAATTATGAATTACTGAAAAGTAGAAAATAAAACAACTAAATAGCGGCATGATACGCCGCGGGTCGGCTCGTAATATATATTCTGTATTTCTACACCAAATTAAAAAACATTTGGAAAAAAAATGTACACACATTTTTTAAAATAAAAGTAGGAGGCCTATCTGACTGATCTGAACTTTAAAAAAAGAAGAATACAGATGTTTTGAAACCCATTACACAATAGTAATTAAAACTTACAAAGCAAGAGTCGACCAAAATTTGTGACGATCTGCATAGCTTACTGTGTACTTTCTAATTAAATAAACTCATTAAAACCTTAATTTTGGATTAGAACAGTCTTAATCTACAGAGTTGCAATGGTGGAGGACGGGTCAAGCTAAACATTATTTATTGCATTACTTGTATTCGTTTCGTTTCTATGGTCCTGCTGAAATTTACACCAGTCGAGCAGACATGAGGGCGTGATATCACGTCTAGCTTCGTATTCTGATTACATAGATACGGGGGGGGGGGGTGTGATTTCACCTTAGCCGCCGTGTGTGGATCATATCGAGATTATCATCCCCCTATTAACGAAAAGCTAATTTCCTCCATCTAACGAAATGGCGTCAAGCATATTGACACGCCTAGCGAGGTTTCATGATGAATGGAGCTCCACTAAACGCCGATTGAATCAGTCGCTTAAAAAAATAAAAGCTTTCGCTTTCTGATGGGCCACCCTACGCATGCATCTCCTACACAATTGGGAATGTCCGTTGCTAAAAATACATCATGGGCTGCCCAAAATAGACCAAAGTTGCGAAATTTGTCTAGTATTGGTCACAAAAATAATCTACTATTAATAGGAAGCACTGAGCCACTTTAGGTTGTGTTTGATCAGCGATAGGACATTGTTGCATCTAATATAGTGATGATAGCATGTAGGACTTTATATAAGGACTTTATATAAGACTATACATAAGCCTAGAAATAACAAAGATGCACATTGTACTGTAATGGTATTGTGAAAAGTCCTTGTGGCTGATTCTGATGTTTAACAACGTCGTTGTGGGACAAGGAACATCACTAGAGAAGAGATGTTAACATCACTAGAGAAGAGATGTTAACATCACTAGAGAAGAGATGTCAACATCACTAGAGAAGAGATGTTGACATCACTAGAGAAGAGATGTTAACATCACTAGAGATGAGATGTTAACATCACTAGGGAAGAGATGTTAACATCACTAGAGATGAGATGTTAACATCACTAGAGAAGAGATGTTAACATCACTAGAGAAGAGATGTTAACATCACTAGAGAAGAGATGTTAACATCACTAGAGAAGAGATGTTAACATCACTAGAGAAGAGATGTTAACATCACTAGAGAAGAGATGTTAACATCACTAGAGAAGAGATGTTAAGATCACTAGAGAAGAGATGTTAACATCACTAGAGAAGAGATGTTAACATCACTAGAGAAGAGATGTTAACATCACTAGAGAAGAGATGTTAACATCACTAGAGTAGAGATGTTAACATCACTAGAGAATAGATGTCAACATCACTAGAGAAGAGATGTCAACATCACTAGAGATGAGATGTCCACGTCACTAGAGAAGAGATGTCAACATCACTAGAGAAGAGATGTTAACATCACTAGAGATGAGATGTCCACATCAAGAGATCATTTATCCAGATAACTGTATCACAACTATGATGGGCTACCTCATGTTTCACCAAGCTGATGGGCTCCCTTCCTCCTGGTATGATGGTGTTGATGTACCACCTTTTGCCAGTGCAAGCTTGAACCCGTTCAAAAGGCGGTACTTTTAGGGGTCGTCCATAAAGAACGTCACACTCATACGGAGGAATGGGGTGGTGGGGTGGGGTCCGTTCGGAAGTTTGTGACGGGGTGGGAGGGTCTGCATTTTAAAAAGTAAGGTTGGGAATTTTGGTTGGACATTGAATTTTTGCAGTTTTTAAAAGGCTTTAATTTATATATTCAATGTTGATAGAGGGGTCGGCGTGGTCGAGTCGGTAAAGCTCATGGTTGCTAAACCGAAAAGTCACGAGATCGAACCCTCGGGAAAGTTAGGCGCGTTAGCTGGGGATAGCCACTATCTTCTAGGAGAGACAACTCCCAAATCAAACAACTGCTGACTTGTAGTTTGTTCTTGGTTGGACAAAGTCTAAGGGAGAAAATCCAAAAAGAAAAGCAGGCTGAAATCGGAGTCAATGGCGCATAACCAATTGACCAGTTGACCTTAATTGTGGTTGAGTCGACAAAAGCTCGTGGTTGATAAATTTGAACAAGTCGCGAGTTCAAACCCTCGGGCAGATAAGGCTTGATCCCTTCCAACAGCAAAACAATAAGAACGAAGAAGAAGACCACGCTTAGAAAATAATTTAGAAAAAATTTGATGCTTGAAAAAAAAAACTTCGATTAAAAGTAAAATGACATTAAAACTAAACATTCAAAAATAGATAATAAAGGCAAGAACACCAATCCAAAAAAAAAAAAAAAAAAAACAACAAGGGGAAGTAACTGGGTCATCTTTAATTGTAACTTGTTTTATAGAGTTACTGCCCATTAATTAAAATTTAAAAAAAATATTTGTCTTTTTCTCTAAAAATGAAGTAACACAGATGTAAAGCTAGCTTTATAGTTCTTTTAATGTTTTTGTACACTATATGACTTTTAAGAGGGGAGATGGTCACCATGCAGAAAACTTTGAATTACGGTAAATTTCTTATCATGGCGTCTAACTGTACCCTGTTTAGAATTTTATTAAAACAGCTGGATCGAGCCTTTTTACAAGCTTTTAGTTAACTTGCTTCCTCTGTCTGTTGTCAATCTGTCGACAGTCTGTCAGTCGTAAAAGATCTAACTGACAGATTCGTTTCAAAGTTGGCACTTGATCTAACCACCTACCCGGTGGAGGTTCAATGCCTGATCACGTGGGTGGTTAATGGCCGGTACGCCCATGTGTCTAATACTTTACACATGGAAACGTCATTAAAATAACTGAAAGACTTGAACAAAATGTATCAGTTCATCAGCCATTTATTAGTATATTGTGCTTAACATTTAGGAAATCGTGCGCTGTGATTATTATGTTGACATAAAAAGGCACAGTTAAAATGTTTACAAAGGTACTTACATTTTAAAAAGGAAACAACAACATTTTAAAGACAAATAAATGAATAAAATGATAGTGTGAATAATAAATAAAATAAAAGAATATCACAAAGATTATTTTAATGTGGTGTAATTCAGCTCGGTGTGTTATTTACTGTGGTTTTTTAAAAACTGGGTTTGTGTGGTTGTCTTTTATGGCTTTGTCTCAGTTGTGGTGATGAAATGGGCGTGTTGGATCACTCCACTGTTTGTTTACTTGGCTTAGATAAAACTTTGCCTCTGACATGCAAAAGGTAAGGTCCACTAATGACGTCACTTGTTTTCAACCGTTTACAATCCCCCCCCCCCCCCCCGCCACCCCTCCACGATTGTGTAAGAAAAAGATCTCTTAACATCATCAAATAGCAGCAGTTAGGAGATATTTGTGTCAGTATTAAGCCAACCCCATCGTCACACATCAGCTCCCCACCCCACGCCGCACATCGTCACACATCAGCTCCCCCACCTACTCCATCACGCCACACATCGTCACAAATGTTAAACCCCCTTATCCTTGTTGCTCGACCGCTAAAAAGTCACTAAAGTCAGTATATTAAAAAAATATTTATAAACAAAGTTATGTTAACTTCAAAATATGCAGTGTACATATAAACGTTAAACATAAATATGTCACGCGCTAGATTTCAAGTCTGAACAATATATACATATATATATATATATATATATATATATATATATATATATATATATATATATATATATATATACATATATATATATATATATATATATATATACATATATATATATATATATATATATATATGTGTGTGTGTGTATGTATAAATATATGTATGTATGTATTGTTTCTAATGATGTTAAATTTATAGGAGAACCAAAATTGGACAATTTAGGTAAGGTGGTAAAAAGAAAATTCAATATAAAGTACTGGGAACTATTTTGTTGTTATAAATATGAATGCGAACAAATACACGAAAATCGCGGTGTAATCTGCTAAGTCTGGTGCATGATGTTGTTGATTCTTCCATCTAATTTTGCTTCAGTCCGTTGTCTGTATGTTGGGTTATGGTTGGTTGTTGTAGAGCTTTGTTCGGTAGTTGTGGGTTTTGTTTGGTAGTTGCGGCGGGATCTTGTTCTTTAAATCAGAACGAGGCTGGAGTTGCGTGAAGTGTCAAGGACGGACGCAGCGTTTAACCATAACGAGGCAGCGTGATTTCCGAGGACGACGAAGTCCTCCCCTGGGCACTGGCGGGTTCTTTGTTTGATGGGTTTAGAAATAGAACAGCCGGCATCCGGCCGATTCGCGCGGTGCCCAGGTTCCGCCGCTTGAAGACCGGCAGGACGAGCCGGCTGGAGGTATCCCGGTCAAAACTCCCCGAGCTGATCAGCTTCAACAGGAAGTCGCTACTAGTGACGTCATCCAGCGGCTTCACGCGCTCCACCAGGTCTGTTTCAATCCCCGTGACGTCACTGTCACGTTTCGTACGGGCGGGGCTATCGCGGCTGGACTGGGCTGGGTCCGAGCGACCGAAGCGGACAAACGAATGAAAACTTCTCTTGTCCAGTTTTCTCGCGCCGGTTGCTTTGGCCTCGTCGCCGGACCGGCCGAACCGGACGAAACTGTGTGTCGGGTTGTACCGTTTGCCGAAGCGGACAAAGTTGTGGTGCTTGACCGGCAGCCTTTTGGACACGTCCCTCAGCCGCTTCATCTCCTCCTCCATCTGCTTCTCCTCGAGAAACTTGAAGGCGTTCAGGATGTCCGTCCACACTTCAGCCAGGTTGGCCTCAGAGTCTTCAGCGTCCTCGCTGATCTCGTCCAGTAGATCGTCAATGTCGGCTGTGTCCAGTATCTGCAGAAATAATGGGCTCTTTATAGCACGATAAATTAATGGGCTCTTTATAGCACGATAAAATAATGGGCTCTTTATAGCACGATAAAATAGTGGGCTCTTTATAGCACGATAAAATAATGGGCTCTTTATAGCACAATAAAATAATGGGCTCTTTATAGCACGATAAAATAATGGGCTCTTTATAGCACGATAAAATAGTGGGCTCTTTATAGCACGATAAAATAATGGGCTCTTTATAGCACGATACAATAATGGGCTCTTTATAGCACGATACAATAATGGGCTCTTTATAGCACGATAAAATAATGGGCTCTTTATAGCACGATAAAATAATGGGCTCTTTATAGCACGATAACATAATGGGCTCTTTATAGCACGATAACATAATGGGCTCTTTATAGCACGATAAAATAGTTGGCTCTTTATAGCACGATAAAATAATGGGCTCTTTTTAGCACGATAAAATAATGGGCTCTTTTATTTTATACAAGAAAAATAGTGGTTTCTTTTACAGCGCATAAAATAATGGGCTCTTATATAGCACGATAAAATAATGGGCACTTTTATAGCACAACAAAAAATTATTTTTAAACATTAACTTAAATTTAAATAAATTTGAACATATTTTAATATCATTTTGCGTTAGTTCTTTTTTTTTTGTCTAAACAAAAATAAAATAAAATATGTCGGCCTATCAACAAGTAACAAAAAAAATAATTATATTTCAATAATAAATATTATATATATATATATATATATATATATATATATATATATATATATATATATATATATACATATATATATATATATATATGTCTGTGTGTGTGTGTGTGTGTTAAAATAAAAGACATAGTAATAAAAGCCTATTACCCTAACAAATACATACATATAGATCTACAGATATCTTTATATGTATGCACATGTAGGCCTATGTTTGTGTACATAATATAATACTGAAAGTAATGTAAAAAGAAGAGCTGTAAGCTCCTAGAGTTGAGGTTTGTTGTGATAGCGCTATAAGCTCCTAGAGTTGAGGTTTGTTGTGACAGCGCAATAAGCTCCTAGAGTTGAGGTTTGTTGTGATAGCTATATAAGCTCCTAGAGTTGAGGTTTGTTGTGATAGCTATATAAGCTCCTAGAGTTGAGGTTTGTTGTGATAGCGCTATAAGCTCCTAGAGTTGAGGTTTGTTGTGATAGAGCTATAAGCTCCTAGAGTTGAGGTTTGTTGTGATAGCGCTATAAGCTCCTAGAGTTGAGGTTTGTTGTGATAGAGCTATAAGCTCCTAGAGTTGAGGTTTGTTGTGATAGCGCTATAAGCTCCTAGAGCTGAGGTTTGTTGTGATAGAGCTATAAGCTCCTAGAGTTGAGGTTTGTTGTGATAGTGCTGTGAGAGAACGGAGATTGTTATCAAGCAGCATTCGACATCACGTGACCTGGTGTCGTGTTATCGATCCCATTCCATCCCATAACCTTCCATGGCAAACTTACCTCATCTGTCATCTGATGGCAAACTTACCTCATCTGATGACAAACTTACCTCATCTGTCATCTGATGGCAAACTTACCTCATCTGTCATCTGATGGCAAACTTACCTCATCTGATGGCAAATTTACCTCATCTGATGGCAAACTTACCTCATCTGTCATCTGATGGCAAACTTACCTCATCTAATGACAAACTTACCTCATCTGTCATCTGATGGCAAACTTACCTCATCTGTCATCTGATGGCAAACTTACCTCATCTGTCATCTGATGGCAAATTTACCTCATCTGTCATCTGATGGCAAACTTACCTCATCTGTCATCTGATGGCAAACTTACCTCATCTGTCATCTGATGGCAAACTTACCTCATCTGTCATCTGATGTTAAACTTACCTCATCTGTCATCTGATGGCAAACTTACCTCATCTGTCATCTGATGGCAAACTTACCTCATCTGTCATCTGATGGCAAACTTACCTCATCTGTCATCTGATTGCAAACTTACCTCATCTGTCATCTGATGGCAAACTTACCTCATCTGTCATCTGATGGCAAACTTACCTCATCTGATGACAAACTTACCTCATCTGTCATCTGATGGCAAACTTACCTCATCTGATGGCAAACTTACCTCATCTGTCATCTGATGGCAAACTTACCTCATCTGTCATCTGATGGCAAACTTACCTCATCTGTCATCTGATGGCAAACTTACCTCATCTGTCATCTGATGGCAAACTTACCTCATCTGTCATCTGATGGCAAACTTACCTCATCTGATGGCAAACTTACGTCATCTGTCATCTGATGACAAACTTACCTCATCTGTCATCTGATGGCAAACTTACCTCATCTGATGGCAAACGTTTACCTCATCTGTCATCTGATGGCAAACTTACCTCATCTGATGGCAAACTTACGTCATCTGTCATCTGATGACAAACTTACCTCATCTGTCATCTGATGGCAAACTTACCTCATCTGTCATCTGATGGCAAACTTACCTCATCTGTCATCTGATGGCAAACTTACCTCATCTGATGGCAAACTTACGTCATCTGTCATCTGATGACAAACTTACCTCATCTGTCATCTGATGGCAAACTTACCTCATCTGATGGCAAACTTACCTCATCTGTCATCTGATGGCAAACTTACCTCATCTGTCATCTGATGGCAAACTTACCTCATCTGTCATCTGATGGCAAACTTACCTCATCTGTCATCTGATGGCAAACTTACCTCATCTGATGGCAAATTTACCTCATCTGATGGCAAACTTACCTCATCTGTCATCTGATGTGACAGCGTCCAGCAAGAGGCCACCAATACAACAAGCGTCCACCTCATCATCTTCTTACTGAAATAGAACAATTGTGGTCTATTAGAACAATTGTGGTGTACTAGAACAATTGTATTGTAATAGAACAATTGTGGTGTACTAGAACAATTGTATTGTAATAGAACAATTGTGTTGTAATTGAACAATTGTGTTGTAATAGAACAAACAATTGTGTTGTAATATAATAGAACAATTGTGTTGTAATAGAACAATTGTGTTGTAATAGAACAATTGTGTTGTAATAGAACAATTGTGTTGTAAGACTCTAACACTGAATTGATGAGTGACACATACATCTATCATAAACTCTTGACACTAATGGCATTTTTGTATTGAAAGCAAGATAATTTTTATACTCTACTAATAAAACAAAAATGCTGATGAAAATAAATTATTCACAGAAAAAAGCAGTCCATTAAATGAATTAATAAAGGCAGACAAACTTATTTCATTACTAATCAAATAGATTAAGTAAGTAAATCAGTACACAGACTAATTAAATGCATTGCGAACTTTAGCTGAAAGGAAAAGATAATAAATCAGGTTGTCTTTGTGTTTTGTTGGTATAGAACCTTGCCCATAACTAGAACGGTTAGCAACGATGGATGACATGAAATAATGCCCACTCCCTGGGGAGGAGCTGGCTAAGTTGTTATTGTGGGGACGGGCCTTAGGGGGATAATGTTGTCTCATAGTTAACTGCAGTGACGTCAGTTAGTGAATGTTGTCTCATAGTTAACTGTAGTGACGTCAGATAATGTTGTCTCATAGTTAACTGCAGTGACGTCAACACAATAAAGTGTCTAAATCTTTACTGCTGTCCGTGTCAACAAGTTAGTTACGTAATTTTAAAAATATTTTCTGCATGGTTTTAAATTGTCGCGGGTTATTTTTTAACACGGCTTGTAAAAAAACAAAACGCAAACCACAGCATAGTGACTCGAAGAACTTGTAAGTCGGTTAGTAGACTCACTACACATTATTATTAACTTGATATAATGTATTGAAAAATATTTTTTTAAAATCTTTATAATAATAAGCTTTTAAATACGCTGAAAATAATAAAATACAACAAACTTGCTTGATATAAATTCCATTGTTATCTCTGCTTTTGTTACTAAATTTAGACATTTTTAAGATTAAATATATTTTAATGACTAAAAGTATATTAAATTCCATAAAAAAATTAGATATCCTTGCATTTTCATTTGAAGAAGAACTTATCTGGAAAGTTTGGTCTGCTGCACTAGAAGGGGTTAAAATTGAGTGACAATATTTGCCACAACCCACAAACAAAAAAATTCCAGACTTAGTGAACAAAATAAAAGCTTATAGCTATACAAACTAATGTTAATATTTAAGCAGAGCGTTTACCTTGTGTGATTATTGAAAACTAATCTTCCTTTATTAATTTTCGAATCTGTTAAACTACTAATCTTTAACAAAATTTTAAAATATTTTTGATTCGATTCATCTTTTTCACACGTCCACGTTTTTAAAATATTAAATCAAATCTTTATTTGCCAGATAAAATTGTCAAAAATAAAATAAAAGACATGAGTTTTCTGAATGAAATCAAACAGTTGACCATGTTGACACAAAAAGAATCGTGAAGATGTTTGTCCACCAGTAGCTGGGGACACATGAACGCCTTGTGGAAGAACCGGCTACAAGTATGGCAGTTATTAGGTTTCGATCTGTGAATCAACAGGCAGCAACAGGGGATCAACATTAGCTGAGTGTCAGAGGTGGGGGCACTGGGAGGGTGCCTGTCAGAAGTCTGCAGGCTCCAGTCAACAGGTTACACAAGATTTCAGTTTAGATCATTAGCGAGCTGATTTACAAGTTATAAGTGTACATTGAGTACATTAATTAGCGAGATGCTTTAGAAGTTATAAACGCAAAATGGTTACATTAATTAACGCGTTTTTTTACAAGTTATAAATGAAGGGCTCAGTGGAAAAAGTACTTAAGTGTATTTTGAGAGTTTTGAGAAAAATGAGTGCAAAGTTTTTAAATTGAAGCTGAAATACCAAAACAGCTGATGCAAAGTATTCGAATTAAGCTACTTCGGTACTTTTTCCATGGGCCAAATTTACAGGGATGGTTAAGGATAGGTGATCAAATAATATACCGGTCTTAACTCATTTTTGAAAAAAAGTAACTTAAGTACTTTTTCCACTGAGCCCTTCAAATGTACTTTCATTACATTAATTAGCGAGAGGCTTTAGAAGTTATAAGTGTACATTGATTACATTAATGAGCTAGGTGCTTTAGAAGTTATAAATGTACATTCATTACATTAATTAGCGAGCTGTTACGCGAAATACTTGAAACAAAACTTTCTTTTTAAAAATAAATTATTCCCTAGTCAACTTAAATAAAACCACTGAATTCGTTTGGAGAGTCACGTATGGCCCAGTGACATTTGTTTACTGACCACACAGACATTCAGTAATGAATGTTACGTAATGTCAGGATTATAAATATTTATAACCGAGTACAGACGTGGTACCCAGTAAGTAACAATTTAGATGAGTCATCAGATGAGTAACATCTCAAAACGTATTTCACTACACTAGATGCATCAAGATGACGTTTACGTGAAGTTCAATGAAATGATGTGCTAGAGGGAGGGTAGTTTGGGTACTTAATGAACAAGCTAAATCAGCTAAAAATATTAACACATCAAATATTGTTCATTTGGTCTACAGTAGCTAGTATCGTAAAAAAACATCGAGAATCTTTTAACAAACATCATTTTCCTAGCACTGATTTTCTTTTGTTTTCACGTTGATCTTGACCGTTTTAAACATTTATTAGCCTGTTATTCAGTATAGCCAAGTTTATCGTTGTGTGCCATGTTCTGCTAGGGGTGCCCTGTTTAATGTGTTTAGAAATTAGTGGCGACGCCTATGGCTGTGTGTATAGAAACTGGGACCTCCGTAGAGTCTTATGGGCTGATACGGGCGTGGCTTGACTGGTATACGATGGGTGGGTGACATGAACACCACGACAGTGGGGACACCGCGTGAGTGGGTCGAGTAACTCACAGCCGGGGGTTTGATCCTGCGTGAGTACATGTCAGATAGTCGGATGTCATGAGGGTATAGGTACATGTCAGGGGGGTGTAGCTGGATGTCAGGTGGGTGAAGTTATATGTCAGGTGGGTATAGGTAGATGTCAGGTGGGCATAAGCAGATGTTAATAATAATAATATTCTTCTAAATTATTATTATTATTAATAATATTATTATTATGTATACTAAATTATGTATTATTACGGTAACAACAGTAAGCACAGAGGCTTTCTTTGATATTGGCCGTTATAAAAAAAAAATATTAACAACATTTTAATGAAATAGCAATTAAAAATGAAAGACTGGAAGTAAAATAGCATTTAAAATGTAGAAAAAAAGAAATAACATTACATAGATATAATGCATAATGGAATAGAATGAGAATAGAATAGATGAATAAGGAAATTTGTGATGGTTCAGTTTATAAGGTCACTAAATCGGTTTTATTTTTAATTTTTAAAAAAGTATGTAATTTCAGTTACAGATTTTTTTTTAAATTAGGAAGATTGTTTCACATCTTAGCACCAGAGTAGGCGAAGCTTTGTCTTTGGAAAAAAAATTTTTTATGTGAGACGGGTAAACTAAGACGAGGATTTAATTTTGTGTTGTAAGAAAATAGGTCCATTGGACTTGGATGTGGCTGTTGTTTCATCGGGAAGATGATATCCAGTTTAACCTTAAACAAAGCTCAAGTTAAACCCACTCCCTCTTCCTACAAAAAATATTTTAACTAATAAAAAAATATCGCAGGGCTAGCTGTGCCCACGCGAAAAATATAACACATTTAATAAAGCGCCTTGAAATTATTTTAATCCGAGCGTAAATTAAAATATTAACTAATCTTATAAATTGCTCTGTGACTATGCTTTATAAACCACATAATAAAAAAATAAACGTACAATGGCGTCAAACAAATTTAAATTCGTATAGAATAAAACTAATGCTACTTTCATGACACCAACATTATTCAATAACAAAAACAGCTAATGTATCTAACAGCACATTAAACCAACTCACTGCGCCTGTTTTCACCTTTCAAAAATCCCAGCGGAAACTCGGACTGGATAAAATTACTCCGCTTTATAACATAGTGCCTCTCAGTCATTAATGAACTATTTGTTTTTATCCCACGCTTAATAAATAGCCGCTTCCTGATTAATGACACATTAATTAATAAATCACAGGGGAGCGAACTCAATGTCTTTTTGATGTACTTTATTTTGTTGACTCGTACGAGTGAGGACCCTTGTAGACAGTGTGTACATCGTCTTGAGAGAAGTGTGTACATTTGTACAGCACAGGCAATTGTACACAACTCACTGAACACTAGCTGCCCAGTTATCCGACCTGTCACAACAATCCGACTTATCATTAGAAATGTTGGCCCACACTTTGTTGGCCCACACTTTGTTGGCCCACCCTTTGTTGGCCCACACTTTGTTGGCCCACACTTTGTTGGCCCACACTTTGAAAGTGTTGGTCCACACTTTGTTGGCCCACACTTTGTTGGTAAACACTTTGCTGGGCCACACTTTGTTGGCCCACACTTTGTTGGCCCACACTTTAAAAGTGTTGGTCCACACTTTGTTGGCCCACACTTTGTTGGTCAACACTTTGCTGGGCCACACTTTGTTGGCCCACACTTTGTTTGCCCACACTTTGAAAGTGTTGGTCCACACTTTGTTGGCCCACACTTTGTTGGTCAACACTTTGCTGGGCCACACTTTGTTGGCCCACACTTTGTTTGCCCACACTTTGAAAGTGTTGGTCCACACTTTGTTGGTCCACACTTTGTTGGCCCACACTTGAAAGTGTTGGTCCACACTTTGTTGGCCCACACTTTGTTGGCCCACACTTTGTTGGCCCACACTTTGAAAGTGTTGGTCCACACTTTGTTGGCCCAAACTTTGACCGACATTTTTGGCCACACTCTGTGTTGACCCCCTCCCCCCCCTGAAGACACATCTAACTTAAGTGCCATTTAAACTGTTGCTGATGTCCAGATTAGCCGCTGACGGTTCCAAAAATATCTCGTCCATTTCTACTTTAGTTCAATGATTTTGTCATCATAATAAACATTTCTTAATGACGACACTTCAATGTACTTTATCAAATTCAACCATCAAATTAAAACCAAATTAAATTGTAATTAGTTTTTTTACTTTTTTTTTCACACACTTCATTTTCAAAGTTTAAATATGCACATACACACTTATATATATGTGTGTGTATATATATATATATATATATATATATATATATATATATATATATATATATATATATATATATATATATATATATATATATGTGTGTGTGTGTGTGTGTGTGTGTGTGTGTACATTTATGCGCTTATTTATATACAAACATATAAATATACATTTATATATTTATGTAATCGATTGTAATTTGGTCCCGGGTTAATGAAGGATTAACAGAAGATGGCTGACGTGTCCCAGCTGTCACGTGATCAAACAAGGACCTAAATCGTCTGCTCCACTTGTATCAACACGCCCCGGGGCGGGCTGATCCCTTCCTCCCGCGTGCTGCCATTTATTGGACCCGACTAATTATGACCCGACTAATTAAGAAGTAAATTATGGTCTCTGTCACAATGCAATAAAAACCTGTAATGTTGACCACACACCATTAATATTTCCTTCCTGCCGGCCGATCCAGCGAGTCCACGATTAGCTGTAGAACAGCTCATGCTAAATCTGGTCCTTGTTTTGTTTTGTGCACTCTATCGTTGCACTGTTTTCTTGGCCAGATTTTTGTCTCACGTATGGGTGTGGGGGGAGAGGGGCAATGACGTCATAATCTAGAGTGGGTGAATAAGTCGGGTGTGTGGGAATAAGTGGGGTGTGTGGGAATAAGTGGGTGTGTGGGAATAAGTCGGGTGTGTGGGAATAAGTGGGGTGTGTGGGAATAAGTGGGGTGTATGGGAATAAATGGGGTGTGTGGGAATAAGTGGGGTGTGTGGGAATAAGTAGGGTGTGTGGGAATAAGTGGGGTGCGTGGGAATAAGTGGGGTTAGCTTCAGACTTTTTGTGACGATGTGTATGCGAGGAAGGGGTTAATTGGGCTTTAGAAATGAAGTAGTTCGTAACCGTTGCAGAGAGAGACAGAGAGAGAGAGAGAGAGAGAGAGCACCCCATGCGAATGGCTATCTCTGTATCTGTCAATGATCGGATCACTGAGTAACTAATAGATATACGGTCACTTCCTGTGTGGATCAGCCGACAAACTCAATGATAATTGCTCCGACTTTTGAATCTATAAATAGAATAACAAAAGGAAGGAAACGAAATTTTAAACTGATTTCCGCCATTACAAAAATAACATGAAACCTACAGTTCACGACACATCGCATAGGAATTTAAAATAAATATTAGGCCTATAGGTTTAATACATAT